ATTATTTGACAAACTTTTTTATTTAATCAAAATGTAACCAAATAATTTTATCAGTTATCGATTAAAACTGTTGCACAAAAATTATCAATTATTTAAATTATTGCACATAAATATTCTATTTTGTGACTTAGCAAAATTATAAAATCAAATAAAGAACAGAATGATATAAAGTAATAATTAATATGCAATGAATAAAATAATATTTGTAGAATTCGATGGTGGCAAAAAAAAAGTAAAATCACTTTCAATGATTATTCACTACTGAATTATGGTGAAGTCGTTGTTGTTCATTTGCAATTCTAACATTTTTGTTACGCAAAGAATCGCAGTTCACTTTCACATTCTATTCTTTGAAGCTATTAGTAAGAATTTCGATGCAAAATACATTTTTCATATTTTTACTTTTTATTTCATAAACATTAATATATTATAAACCTTAAATGAAATAATAATAATAATAATAATAATAATAAAATGACACATCAGGGATGTATTTCAATAATTGTTAGAATATGCGATAAAAGTTTTTCAATAATAATTAAAAATTAGAAGTAATGAAAAGAGTCTTCAATAATTAATGATCAACTCACATTGTCTCTGTATCATACGTAGCAATTTTATGAACAAAACTGATCAAAAATCCAATAATTTTGCTATATAAATTAAATTTTTGAAGTATTTTTTTCATATTCACATCATTTGAGGGATTAATATGTTAAATTCGAACAAAAAATAAAAACTAGTACCTTTCAAAATTGCACAATTTAGTTTTTAGTTTTCTAGATCACAAAGAAAAATTCAATAATGAATTACTCTGTGCTTAATTTGATATTAAATTTTTTTCTTTATTTATATCAAAAGTTATTTTATTTTTTTTTTCGTTATTTTGTACAATTCAAAGTTTAATTTCAGACTGTATGCTAAAATTGGATAGTCAGTTATTGATATACAATTTGAATTATTACTGATTGGTTGGTACTCAACTCAAATAGCTGATTGATTAGCGTAGTGTAATTAATTACTCAGTACGCAATTTAAATGAATGACCAGTTTGTCATTCATATATAATTTATAAATATAAATTACTTATAAGCAAAAATTTTTAATCTGTCTCGAAAATTATGATAAGCAATCAATTTCCAACTATGGTCATGCGCATCAGATTTGATGCATTGATACAGTTAAAAATTGGTACAGTTACATTACTGATAGATTGCGATGACCTCACAATTCATCTTTCTTTGCGTTATTTTTAATAATGTAGTGATAATTTTTGGCGGGATTAGTAATTTCTAGTTTCAAAAAACCTTTAACTTTCATGAGTTACTTATTTCTTACTTCACATATTATGCATATAATGCAAACTCAGTAAAATTGACAGTATTTTGAACTTTCACTAAAATAAGACAAAATTAGGAGTTCGGGTCAATAAGTTAGGGTCAATGAAAGTAGCAATGTTATACAGAGATTTTCAAGAATAGAATAGCATGTGTAAGACTTCAATATGAAGCAGATTTAATAATTAAAAAAATATATAATTGAAGAAATTAAAAAGTAACTTGTGCATCTTTTATTCGCTAAATAATTTTTAATATTTTTTCATATCAATTTTTTATAATTGAGTAAAGAAAATGGCATTAAATGCTTGTTCACTTGATATGAAGTTTTACTTTTGTGCTTTTTCGTTTATTATCTATACATTTTTTATTTATTATCAATACTTAAAGACAAATACCGAAAAACTGTATTTTTTCAACTTAAGCATATCAATGTAGTAGTCACATGCTGAAGTATTGCACAACATGAAATATAATCAAAACAAAATAGAATTTAGCGGGGAATATTTTATTGTTGCTGATTTTTTTTTATTAAAAAATATGTTTTGAAGTTTTCTTTAGTTTCAGTAATTAGTTCAAAAATTTCATCTGCTCGTTTAAAACTTTCAAAATTAAAAATGCAGCATAATACTTAGATTCCGTGAATGTAAGGCTTAATGAGCAATTTTAACTGATAATATTAATTTCATGACAATAAACAATTTTTTGGATGAATATTTTTGCACACTTAAAAAAATTTACTGATTTCAGTGAGAAACTCGTCAAAAGATAATGATGAAGACTTGTTTTATGTGTATATTTATAACACTGAAAATATATAACAGAAATTTCTAAGTAACTGAGAAGTAAGTACCTTATCTATGGTAATAATATATGAAGTTATAATACTGAAAATATATATTGAGAAAATTCATATTGATCGAAAATACTTGGTTTTGCGCATTAAACAGTTTCTATTCTAAACTATCTAAATTTAAAAATGCTTAGATCAAAGACTTGATGGGATTGAGAAAGCTGAGATTTATGAGTTGGAATAGAACATGGATAAACAATATCAGATAATGTACTTGAGATAAGTTTTCCGTACACCCTATTTCATTGCCTGCTTGTTGTTATCTTCAGAATCTGTATTCCGTTACGACTCGTTCTATACTTCAAATTACAGAAGTCTTACCTTTAGAATTGTTTGGAAAGTGACGATTGTTTTCAAATGAATACTACGATACATAAAGGAGAAGCTGAAGGGGACTTGTTGTTCAACGTCAGCGAATGTGTGCTTGGCTGAGAAGAAATGTGATTTATGACTTTGTCTCTTTCAGTCATAAATCACTCTTACAGTTCCTTTCTGAGAGAGACATTTCAGATGGCTTGCTATTGAGACAATTTTGGGATCCAAGCGGGCAGGCGTACGTATGCGTATTTGCTTTAGTTTTATCCATGTTCTACTCCATCTCATAAATCTTAACTTTCTCAATCCCATCAAGTCTGTGATCTAAGCATTTTTCAATCTAGACAGTTTAGAAAAGAAACTATTTATGCGCTAAACCAAGTATTTTCATTATTATATTTTTTCAATATTATTACTTTATATATTATTACTACAGATAAGGTACTTCTCAATTACTGAAGTAGAAATTTCTGTTATATATTTCTTAGTGTTATGTCTCACAGAATTACAGAATGCGTCCGTCATTTACGTGAGGTAGATGTTACGAATTGTGAATTATTTTTTGGAAGTGTTCAGAAAACAGAATCGAATATTAAAACAAATTATGTAGTCCTCTTTACAAGTAATTTGATTTTATACTGACATTGCGTTACAATGCTCCAAACAAAGCTAATAGTCACCGTTTGTGTGCACTGTGATTTGTCAGAATTATAACAACTCGTACGATGTGCAACAAATCCAGCTAGCTGGTTGATTAGATTTTAGCACAGTGCAAATATTTCATTTCCCTCCAAAATTTTAGAGAACTGAACTGAATTACAGTATGCGTAAAATGAGAAGCTAAGTGTTGTTCTTAACCTCTCTGAGTAATTCTGGCAAATGCTGAAAGTAGTGTTCTGCTTTGCGCAATTTCATTTCACTGACTAATCGGTAGTGAATGTGAGCTTCCTTCTGACAATGTGATTTATGGCTGAATGTCTCAGAGATAAGAACGATCAGATGGCTCGCACCTGAAGTACATACTTTTCGCCACGTTTCGTCCACACACACAAATTCATTCATTTATTTTTCAGTTATTTGCTTGTCTGTTCATTTGATTAGTCGTATTTTTATTTTTATTTGGATTTTTTCTCTTGTCGCAAATCAATCTGCGCAGTATTTATTTATAGTAATTCCCAATGATTAATAATAGATATTCTATTGCACTGAAATTTTTTCAGACGAATCGCTATGCTTAGCTAAGGCAGTGTTGGAATGCTTTGTGATTACTTAGAGGAACTCACATGCGTATGTCTCGATGACGTCGCCAGTCTCAAATTAGCTAGCAGAAATGTCTTGCTTCACATTTGAGTGGAACGACCTATTAAGTGATTCACTTTGCCTCAATGAATCTATCGATGTCCAGAAATTAAACAGAATCCTTCATACTAATGCAAGTATATTTCTTGATAGGAATGTTTTGCGTTAGTCTGAAGGAAAAGTCAGCAGGAAAGCCACATGCTGATCAGTTTGGATAAATATTAGACAGAAACGTTCTGAAATTTGCCGCTTATTTCAGTATACATATTTTGCTGTCTTTTTGATTATATTAATGCTTTTTGAACTGTAAGCATATTTTTTGACTCATTTCATACTTTCAGACCACAATTACATTTTTTGTATTCTTTTCCGATTTATTTGTACTTTCTGAATTACAGTATTCTGTTTTCTATTATTTTCCGATCATATATGCATGTCCTAAATTTGCAGGACTGCTATGGTATATGCTTCTTGTGTTTTTCGATCGCATTTGTATTATTATAATAATGATTACTGTTGTCTTCCTCTTTGTTTTTTCGATCACAATCGTAATTTCAGTATGGTTACTGTTTGTTTTCTTCGTCTAAATCACATGCATTGTCCTACATTTTTTGATTTATATTAATTTGTAATTGTTTGTTTTTTTTCGTAGGTGTCTTGGCAAAGCACAGCGATTCGTCTGAAAGAATTTCAGTGCAATATAATATCTATTATTAATCAATGAGAATTACTATAAATAAATACTGCGCATATGGATTTGCGACACGAGGAAAAATCCAAATAAAAATGAAAACACGACTAATCAAATGAACAAATGAATTAGAAAGTCTCTAAATTGGAAATAACTGTGCATACACTTACTGCTTGAGCCATTATTCTATGGTATCGCCGCTTGCATAATCGCTTAAGATTTGTACTGCGTTGAAGAAATGCAACGTTGTGCGTTGTAATTTTACTTTCTACGTGTGAGTAAACGTGACGAACATTTTTTATTGGTACAATGCAGGAGAGAAACAGAAATTGGAAAGAGGATTAAGACCTAACAAGTGCTGAATACACATTAGTGTCAAAATAAGTGACTTTCAGGAACAAAAAATTGCTGCTGTTTTTTCTACACTTAAATTGAAATCCACATTTAGACGCAACATGTAGCAAAAATGAAGCTCGTAAAGACACCTGGACAAAATTATCAGCAATTACAAGCCCGCTAAGAACATAATGTGATTGATGTTGATTTCAGTGTCGGTCAAATTAACTTGACACTGCTGCGCTTCCTCGCTCCACATTCCATTCTCCAATGTTGCATGTGCCATCTGATTGACACTTGGAGTAATACTGTCCGTGTTAGGGCACGCCAATGAACCCTGATATCCATTTTCATTTTTGAGCACAGCAGATCGGCAAGGCTTTTCGCCAGTGTGAGGATCCTTGTGAAGTTTCAAATTATCGCGTCGACTAAAGCACCTTCCGCATTTATCGCACTTGAAAGGCTTCTCACCTTCGTGAGTTTTCTGATGTATTTTTAAAGTGCCAGCTTGACCGAAGCATCTTCCGCATTCACTGCACTCGAAGGGCTTTTCACCCGTGTGAGTTTTGTGATGTCTTTTTAAATTGCCAGCTCGACTGAAGAATTTTCCACATTCACTGCACAAGAAAGGCTCTTCACCCTTGTGAGCTTTCTGATGTCTTACCAATTCAGCGCGTTGATTGAAGCATTTTCCGCAGTCCCTGCACAAGAAAGGCTTTTCACGCGTGTGAATTTTCTGATGTATTTTTAAATTGCCCTCTTGACTGAATTTTTTTCCGCATTCACTGCACTCGTGGGGCTTTTCACCCGTGTGAATT